TTATATGACGAGCATTGTTATCATTACAATTATTACTAATATTATTGTCATGTATAATTATTGCTACTATTATTGTATCGTTCATATTGTTGCTGTTATTACTGGTATCATTGTTATATTACTATAGTCCTTATGATTATTATTAGCATTATTTTTGTTTATAATTATTACTACATGACTAGTCTTTTTGTGGTTATAATTATTACTAGTCTTACTGTTGCTTATAATTACTATTATTACATGACTAGTATTGTTACTATTACTAGTACCATTGTTATATGACTAGTATTCTAATTAGCAGTGCTGTTTATAATTACAGTTGTATTATACGTATTGTTATCATTACTATGGTACTTTTGTACTCAGCATTATATGACTAGAATTGCTATAATTATTACTGGCATCACTGCTACGATTATGACTCCTGTTGTAATTATTACAGTAGGATTAATAGTTATATATGACTAGTATTGTTATATGACTAGTATTGTTATCATTGTTAAGTATGATTGTTATTACTGTCATTAGTATTGTTGGTTATAACTATTACTAGTAGTATTATACAGCTAGCATTGGCATTATAATTACCACTATTGTTTATAACAAGTGTTTTACTAGTATTGTCGTTGTTGACTCTTACTAGTGTTATTATAATTATTACTAGCATTGCTGGTATCATTTGACTGGCACCCTTATTATAACGATTACTAGTATTATTATAATTCTTGCTAGTATATTATTATAATTATTACTAGTATATTATTATTGTTGCTTTATTGTTTTTATTATTTGCGGACAAATATCATCCGTCCCCCCACAGTTACCCGGGAGAGAGAGAAGGACAAGCCTCCCCACCCCAGGCCCTGAGGCGGAGGCTGCGTCTAATGCAGCAGACGGGCCCGGGGGGCGGGGCGGCGCGGGGCCCAGCTGACTGCGCGCGCAGCCACGTTGCCTCAGAGCGAACCTAACCAACCGCCGCGCTCGAGGCTCTTGCGCCTGCGTAGGTGGAAGGGGGATCACGTGATACGCCCGAAGCTCGCTCGTCCTTCTTTCAGCCAATCAGCGCGGCGCGGGCGGCCCGCTTCCGACCTCACCAGCCGAGTGCGCTTGCGCCCATGGCAGGCTTCCTCTTTCCTTCCCCCTCGCCTGGCTCCACCCCCTTGACCTGCGGGCCCGGGGCGCAGACATGGCGGCGGCCGTTCGGCGCGTGCTCTGGCTCAGCGGCGCTTGGAGCGCGGCGCGAGCAACGCCGGGCGCGCAGGTGAGAGTGAGGCCCGCGCGCGGGAGGGGGCGGAGCTCCGTCCTCCTGCCCCCCCGAACGTGGCGGGCTGCCGGCCCCGCTGGCTCTGCTCCTCCCGTGGGGCCGCGGCTTCGAGACTGCTGTTGGCAGCTCCTGCACTGCATTGCACACGGAGATAGGGGCTTCGTGCTGCTTCTACCCGGCCCCTTGCATGGGGTTCATGGCTTGCAGCAGGGTCAGGGCCTTACGCGAGGGGATTGGGCTCTGGGCCCTCACGCTTGGCCCCATGTATAGGGGTGCATGCTGCACACTGGCATTAGGGCCTTGGTCATCTCTGCTCAGCCCCATGCATGGGCCTCGCGGATTGGGTTGTGTGCCACACCTCGGGTGTTAGGTCCGTGTGGTGTCAGGGGTTGCGGAGAGCGTAGATGGGGTGGTGGTGGTGGTGGCGGGGGGGCCTGTGGGTTGGGAGTGAGGGGCCACACTGAGAAAATGGAGCCATAAATGGGGTCACGCTAAGGCAATGTTTGGGGAGCAGTGGTGTAGAAGAGGGTTGTGTGGGGTTGTTCGGACAGGACTGATCCTGCCTCAGGCAGGGGGTTGGACAAGATGACGTCTGGAGGTCCCTTCCATCCCAATTTCTCTATGAGTATGGCATGCCCCAGGATCGGGGCCCTGCGCCGCCTCCATCCAGCCCCACACACACAGATGAGGGCTCTGTTCTACCTCCACCCAGCCCCATGAATGGAAATTGGGTTCCAGGGCCTCACGCTGGGATCAGGCCCCAACCCGCCCTGTGCCCACGTCTAGTGTGCAGGGCCCTGGTCCACAGGGCTTCTACAGACCTTGGGAAGCTCCCAGGCTAGATGACCAGGGACAAGGGGCTGACAGTCCTTGAGCTAGAGCAATTCTTCTGTGGTAAAGAACTTGGAAAAACCAAGGCAGGGCAGAGTGGTTTTGACAGTGTGGATTCCTCCTGACGTTAGTCTTGTGAATTGACTGTGGCACCCTGGTTGAGAGCCACTCCTTTAATGGCTATGAAATGCCTCCTCCCTTCTCCCCCTTTAACTAAACCCTTGCAGTGAGGCATTTTTTAAGGCACTTGAAGGTATATAAATACAATCTCAAAACCAGATTGTACTTCAGCACTTAAGAGCCCGAGTGGTACGAGTACAATCCTGTTCTGCTCCATGCAGTTCCCTGGAGGAAAGACAGGGCAACACTTGAATCCATCCTCTTTCTCTTTGCCTTTTGCGACCTAGCCTGAAGATGAAGGCAAATCTGTTAGCACATCTAGTTCTATGGTCTTCAAGAACTAACGGGTGGACTAGGATCACATTTAGGCACCTAATAGGAGAAATAGCATTTGGCCCATAGCATTAGTAACCGGCAAGGCTAATGGGATCATCTCCAGCTTGGTGTAGACTGAAGAACCTCCCTAGTGGCCCCTCCAGCAGAGAGGTAATTATCCTTTATTTACATAGCAGGAAAGACTATCAAGCCAAGTAACTTGTAGTTGATCTAGAGCAGTGATTTCCAACTAGGGTGCTTAGGTTGCATTGAAATCCTTTCCAGGGTGGTGTGAGGTGCCATGCAGTGTTAGCATTGTTAGGTGTGCACACATGATTCACAGGATAAACCCAGAGATTTCCAATAGGAATCCAGTGTTAAACACATTCAGACTTGTGGTTTTTCTGAGTTTTTTGCAAGAAAGCATTTCCTTTATACTTTTTCTGTAGCCAGAATACAGTGAAAACTAAATGCTGGCAGTTTCAGTGGGGTACTTTGAGTTTTAAAAAAGGTTGAGAACTGTCTTTCAGAAAGGCAGCCAATCTTGATTTAAGCACTTGAAATGATGAAGTGGGTAGTGGTAGATTACTCTCGCTATGGAAAAGTTGAGTTTTAGAACCAACTGGAATTTTTCAAATTTAAACTTCCAGTTTCAAAGCAGTGTATTTCTGAGCTTTGTACTAGAAATGTGCTTCATTGTAGTTAATTAGATTTCATGGTGTAGAATTCAGTGCATTTAAAATAGTCTTTCGTCAGGCATTTGACAAATGGACTGTTTTATGTCATCAAGACTATGATTCTTTTAAATCATTTCAACATATAAACTCCTTGCTTTGATACTGGTCTGTGGGTGTCCCTAATAAGCTGGAGCCTACCTGAATGTTCATTCCTAGTTTCAGCAGTAAAATGGTGTAAAATGTCCCAAACTGACTTTTGTAGTCGAATTATCTTTAGGGACCTACTTAAATTCATAGCCAGACAAAGCAATTTTCAGGGCTTGGTCACAGCAAGAAGAGCTAACTTTGAAGGCATTTTGTGGTAGAACCACCCATTGCCACTGATTGGTGGAGAGGCCCCAGTGGGGAGGAGGAATGAAGGGGCAACTGCCATCTTGGCTGCTGGCTGCCCTTTTGTGCCAGCCTGCCAGCTGGTGCCTTCCTGTCCCAGGAGGCCGCAAAGCAGCTAGGACCACTGGCTCCCACTGGGGAACCAGCATTTAATTTTTATTAAGTTGATTACATGGACAGTTGCAGATTTTGTAGTTTCCACAAAACTGTGAATTAAGTAGGTCCCCAATTATCTTCTATCCAAGTGAGTTAAGGGGGCCTGTAGTAGTATTAAACAGATTCTCCATTGTAGTATTAATAGACTTGGCAGGATTTGATATTTATTAATAAACATTGTTTTCAGCCCGACAAAAAAATATTTCCATCAGTAATCATCCAAATGTATAGAAAGGTGACGTAAAAAGAAAAAATCAGGGACAGGGGTAAGGAAATGTGGGGCAGGGGGCACCTATGCACGCGCACACACTCTCTTTCTCTCTGTCTCTCTGGAGTGAGGGGATCCCTGGCTGTGCTGCCTGCTCTCTGCTCCTCTTGACAGTGGTTCAGCCAGCCACTGCAGGAGATGGGGGCTGTGCTGGGACAAGGGGTTGGAGGACTGTTGGCAGCCAGGGAGCCCTGTGCTACCAGCCACTCGCTCTGCCCAAGTCTCAGCCAGGGATGGGGCACCAAAATCCCAGCAAGCCTGGGCCAGCCCCTGCATGATCAGGTCTCTCTAAGAGTTTGGCCTCCACCCTATTATGCAGGGACCAGGCCAAACAGGAGATCTGGGAACACAGGGGAAGCAGCATCCCCCAGTCCATAAGATGCAGCTCCCCGTGACCCTTTAGGGGGTGAGCCCTGCCTGGCAGGCACCAGTGGAGAAGTGCCTCTCTGCTGGTACCTGCCAGGCGGGACTCGCCTCCTAAGGGGCTGCTGGGAACTGCTTGCCATCCTGGGGTGGGTGGCTGCTGCCTCCCCCATGTTCCCAGAGTTCTGAAGTGCCCTCTGCACTACTCTTCTGGTCCCTGCCCACCCAGGTCTTTCCTGATGAATGCACCAAATGATTTAAAGCAGATATGCTTTATTGATTTATGGATATTTACTTTTATATATTTTAATGTGATTTTTATAAAGCTTTTAACAGTATACTGTCATTATTAAATTGTCTGCCCCCCACACCGCTAATTTCATGCATCCTGAAAATTTAAACCAATAAAAATTGAAAGAATTGCTCAAAAATAAGCATTGATCTGAGCTGTCAAAATGACAGAAAAATAAAAATTGAATTCTGCCAAGCCTAAGTATTGAACTCTAGTTTTACACCAATGTACCTCCATTGATTCCAGTGGAGCTAATGGGCAAAAACTGATGAAACAGTAACTAAATAGATATTGCACCTAATACTTAAATCCCTTTGAATTTCTTTCTGAGAGAGTACCATTTAAAAGTGCTTTGTTTCTCTTAAAACAAACTTTATTTTTCTGCAGATATTGCTCTGTCTAGAAAATGAGGACTTGCCAGAATATTCAGAGATGCTTTTATGCTCTTTACATTCTTTCCCCATGTGTTAAGAAATTGAGAGGATAGAAGCAAGTTGTTTTTTTCCTGGACTAACGTTCTATTAGTTCAGGACTGCTGTTAATATCCATTATGTTTTTTTAGAAATAGTAAAAATACTATCTGTAATAACACTGTATGAAATGTATGATGAATTAATATAAATCTGTTATTCCTAATTAAATGCATCCTTCTATCACATGGTCTGACTTAAATGCCAGAAACATTCAGCTTTGCTTTTCATTTTATTCGCACCACCCATGAAATAGTGCTCTTATCCCAAAAGAGATACCTTATACAATAGGTGTTAATTTGCATAAGAGGCTCTTTTTCTAATTATAAGCAGTTTATGTGTCCAGGGACTCTTGATTAGTGACAAATTGAAACAAGGGAAGCATATGAATAGCTTGAGGGAAGAAGGAAAAAATGGGAAAATTACAATAGAAATTTACAAGAATAAGATAGATGTAATCTTTTTAAAGTATCTTGTTTAAAATATGGCAGAGAGAAAGCAATCTTTGGCCAAGATTCTGTGAGGCTTACTATAAAAAATCACTTGTTCACTAAAAAGAATTACAAATAATTAGCTACTAACAAGTAAAATAAGACACCAAATAAATTCAATTGTTTCCTGAAGAAAGAAAGTAGGTGATAGTAGGCGACGTTTAGAGCTATCTCAGTGTTTTACCCTCCCAAATACTTACAAGAGTTTCCTTCTTGAAGGCTACATGAATTTATATATTGATATTTTTTTGTAATGCATATGAAAATGAGTTGTTGTAGAAAATTGGTGTAACACCATAGATCAATGTTTTTTTTCATATGATATGATAATAAATACGTGTTGGAGATATTGCCTGAAACTTAAAATGAAAGCCGGATAAAAAGAACCTCAGCAACAAAGTTCAGTGCCTGTTTCAAGTGCTGTTATATTAGGCTTGAGGAATTGATTCACTCTGGCCTGTATTTTCTGTAAGAACCATGTTCACATGCCTCTACTTTTCCACCTCATTCCGCTTTACAGACAACACACGAAGATTGATCATGCACTGGACTGAATTGCAGTACTTGTTTTGCAATATGCACCAAAACTATACAGAAGTTTAGGACAAGAGATAAAGAATACTG